AACAGTGACCTCCAGCTGTGAGGCCAGGCCTCCATCCCCGCGCTCTTCTATCATGTTCTAGGCTCCTTTCCAGCTGAGGCCTGATTCAGCTTCATTCCTGCCTCCCTCGTTGCCTTTGGTGGCAGACTTGCGGGAAACACCCATTTTCACAGTCCCACCTGCGAACACGTTGCTCAGATCGAATGCCTGGTGGGAGCAGAAAGGGCCCTTCATTTCTACCACCACACACGGTCCTGCAGGGAGTGGCCCCCGTTCTGTGTTTCCTGGTTTAAACTACTATATAATTTTGTCTAATAACCCGCACCCCTTGCTTTTCTGCCACTTCTCAGATCAAGAAGTCACTTTGCAGGGAAACATCTTTTGCCAGTTAAGATGTCCTTTCATCTTTCTCTCTGACCTCTCCTACATACACAGTTTGAAAATAATACTCGATCTTGATAAAATTCAGTTGAGCCCATTAGAGGTTGAATTAAGCTATTGTTTTCATGAGTATTATTTCTGACTCCTATTCCTCATGTCCCTTATCACCCCCACTCCCTTTCACACACATCCACACCCCACATACACATACTGCACACACACACACCACCTATGATCAAGACTCGCTTTAAAATGAGACTGTGCTAACCGGGCTGCAGGGAAATTTCTTAGCTCTTCACATACCGTGTGAAGAGAGCTCTGTGGGCAGCCCACCCAGGTATTTCCCGTGTTTGCCTCAGTTTGTGGTGAATGGAAAGAACAGTTCACTCCAAGCAGTATTTTTCATTGAAATGTAAATCGCCTATACCCATTCTCATTCTGGTAGAATTCCCAAGGAGCAAACAGGTTTTGTGTTACAAGCCTTGAAGAGAAAAAGTTTTCTCCTCTAGTCTCTTTCTTTAAATACATAACAAGATCGAAGGCGATTCATTTAGTCAGCTCTGATCCACTGTAGAGGTTTGCATATCTAACAATAGAAAATATTCACAGGATTTTACATAGTATTATGGGATTGTTAGTAATTTAAGGAAGGAAAGGTGACTTTGTACCAGGATTTAATTCCCGAATTAACACGCCACCGTCACCCTAGAATGCCAGTTTTCTTTTCAGTTCCTTTACCCACCTGTAAACTACATTAAGGCATTTACCAAATAGTGGTTTAAATCTAAAAATAAAACAAATGCCGCAGGACTTAATGTCCTGTGTTTGGAGTGCTTTTAGAGAGCATTAGGACTTGTAAGTGGTGAGGTGGGCATGGAGGGAATGAAAGATTCAATAATAATGCCATAAGACCTCAAAGTACAACTCAAGTGGCCAAACATGTGGCCAAAAGCATAATAGAGGCTGTTTAGAGAAAAGCTATTCGGTTGTCGTCATAATAGCCAGCAGGCGCTGGATATATTATACTAGTAGGTCCTTTTAAAAGCTTCCTACTGAATACTATTTTATTCCTATTCAAACATGACCATTCCATTTTTAAAATACTATGGAATCCATGAAGCAGAATATATTTTAGATGCACAGATTACATTAAAAGGCTCGGGACCCAAGGATTGAACAGCCTTGAGTATTTTTCTTTAAATACACAAGCTTAAAAGTGCATTCCTTAGCATCCCTGGAGGAAAAGCCCAGGAAAATGAATATGACATTAGAATACATAGCACTCGACATTTGTATCCCTTATTTTTTAAGACCTGGGGCTTGTTAGTTGGAAACTTTCAATGGCATTATCACATATTATTGGGTAGTGAGTGTGGGGTGGTTAATGTGCTTTGAAATGGCCTCACTTCCTCTACTTCTGCCAAGTTTGCTTTCTGTCTCGTGTGCTGTCCTTGCTGTGTTTTATGTTATGCATGTATGGACAAGCACTGACTCTTTTTATGTGTTGTAATTATTTGTTAAACCTTGGAAAGTCTCATTAGGTGGAAGAGAATGGGAGAGACTGGGAAGATGCATTTTTTCCCTCATACTTTTTTTATGGGAAAAAAATAATCTAATGTGATAAGCATTTCTGTGAATTATTCTAAATTGAGTTAGTTACAGTATTCTAGTTCTACTAGAGGCCCGGTGCATGAAATTCATGCACTGGGGGTGAGGGGGCCTCAGCCCGGCCTACGTCCTCTTGCAGTCTGGGAGCCCTCGACGGATGTCTAGGGAGCGGGCCTAAGCTGTCAGTCAGACATCCTTAGCATTGCCATGGAGGTGGGAGAGACTCCCACCGTGAGCACGGCTTTTGGCTGAGCGGTGCTCCCCTGTGGGAGCACACTGACCACCAGGGGGCAGCTCCTGCATTGAGCGTCTGACCCCTGGTGGTCAGTGCATGTCATAGTGACCAGTCATTCCGCCGTTTGGTCGATTTGCATATTAGCCTTTTATTATATAGGATAGGGCTTTTTATCTGTTTGTGAAGATTGTTCAAGATTCTATCTTATAAATGTTTCTTATGTTTCTGTAACTTAGTTCTTTGTGTCCTGACATGTACTTGAGCCTTGACGGTCCTCAATGAATATCTGGCTCCCATTGATACTCCATCCCCCTTTCTTACTCTCCCACATGCTTCCAACCTTACAGCAGAGTGAGCTCCTTATGGTTCCCTGCCTACTTTGTATGTGTCTGACTATCCTGTCCCCTCTGCTTTGAATATCCCTTCTCTGCTTGCATAGCTAACTCTGACATGGCCCTGAGGACGTTTGATTTGGGCCTCAGCCTCCAGAAATTCACTCTGGTTTTCACTTCCCGCCTCCCATAGCTCTCCACACACTGTGTCTGCTTTGCTTCCTCTTAGATTCCAATGACACCTCATAGAGCTTTCCTGTCCCTTTTTGCACTGGGCAGTCGCTGTTCACTTGCTCACCTGCTAACCTTGTCCATTTCCGTGATCCCTCAAACACCCACATAGCAAAGTCTACAGTCAGACACAGCCCTGTTCATTAACTTGAAATAACCTCACAAGAGCAGGTTGTCAGTAAAAACTACCAACTGTGTGACTTGTTGAGGCTGTGAAAAGGGATTCAGAGACATCTGAGCTGCATTTGGCCCCAATCGTTCTTACTTGGATTGGGGAATAAGGCAGGGTGGGAGCAATCAGCTTGGTGGCAGAGGCAAGAGAGATACAGTACCCCCCCTATCCATGAGGGATACCTTTCAAGACCCCCTGTGGATGCTTGAAATTGAGGATAGTACTAAACTCTATATATACTATGTTTTTTCCTATACATATATACCTATGATAAAGTTTAATTTATAAATTAGGCAGTTTCATGGATAGATTTGTTTTTAACTAGCAACATCAGCATATGATTTTTTTTTCTTATTAAGTCAAGAACTTCCACATTTTTGCTTAAAGGAAGCACTCTATGGCTTCTCTTTGGCCTATCTGAATTGCCAGCATCACTACTCTTATATGTTGGAGCCATTGGTAAGTAAAAGAAGAGTTACTTGAACACAGGCACCATGATATCAAGACAGTTGATCTGCTAAATGAGATGGCTAACCAAGTGACTAACGGGCCAGGAGTGTGTACAGTGTGGAGACACTGGGCAAAGGGATGATCCATGGCTTGGGTGGAATGGAGCAGATGGTGTGAGATCTCATGTTACTGACAATAGCATGCAATTTAAAACTTAATAATTGTTTATTTCTGAAAATTTCCATTTAATAGTGTTGGACTTTAGTTGACCACGGGGAACTGAAACCATGGAAAGAGAAGTTGTGGATAAGGGGGGGCTACTGTATTGCCTTGGGATGAATGGGATTTCTATAAGCTGTGGGAGAGGATGAGGTGGAGCACAAGGGAAAGATTCGCATTGAGAAGGGACAAAGTATTTGGGCAAGAGGTTGGAACAGAGATTTCCTGTGGGAGGGAAGGTGGCAAGATATTCGAGAAGCTGATTCTACAAAGCCTTCTCTGCTGGGCTAAGATGTCTGGGTGTTACCCTGGGATGCAGAAGAGAGTTTGAAGGTTTCAGAGCAGCAAAGTGATGGAAGCAGAGTTTTAGTGATAAGAGGGATTCCTCTCATTACTAAACCAGTGGGGGTGGGCAGGGAACAAGGTTCTTGAATAGTCTAAGCAGGAAGCATCCCAACCAAAAAAAACGTGAGTCCACTATTCACTCAGTCAATAAAACTGAGTCCTGTGTTTCAGGCAATAGGGATTCAAAGGTAGTAAAAGAGGGTCCCTTCACAACAAAGGGCCATGAAAACAAAGCCACCTCAGTTATGTCAGGACCGAGAAAATTGCAACCTAAAGGAAAAATGCATGGCTAGTGACAGCTCTTAGTTAACTGATATGAGCCGCGGCAAGGTTGCAGGATGCCAAGATCACAAATTGCGGATTTGGCCTTTGTTCACAATGAAAGGAATAGTAGCTTCTGCCAGGAGTCTTCCTGATGCTATCAGCTTCGGTCCCTTTTAACTGGTCTTCCTGCTTCTTCTCTTGTGCCCCACCGTGCTCTGTTCTCAACACGGCAGCCAGCATGATCCTTTTCAATCACAAGTCAGATAATGTTACTTCATCTCATGCAGGGTAAAAGCCAGGGTCCTCCCAGTGGTCTAAAGGACATCCCCCCCCCTCCCCCCAATCACCTCTCTGGTCTCATCTTCTCCTGCACTGCTTACATCACTCTGGACACACTGGCCTCCTTGCTGGCCTCAGATCTGCATAGGATGCTTGCCCTTGCGGCCCCACCCCTGCATATCTCTAAGTCTAACCTCTCACCTTCTCAAAGTCTGCTCAGATGTCATCCACCCCCTATTTAAAGTTGCAACCTGTCCCCAAACTCTACCCTTGGCCCTCCTATCCCTCTGACACTACTCTGCCAATTTTGTCCATGAAACTGATTGCCTTCCAACATGATGCATCATTTATTATTATTATTATTTTATTTTATTTTATTTTTTGTCAGAGCCCTCCGCTTGCCACCACTTCCCCCCACCCCCACCCATATTTAGGCTCTCCAAAGGCAAGAATCTTCACCTGCTTTATTCACTGATGTATCACAAATACTTAAGTACAGTGCCTGGTAGGCCTGACTGGTGTGGCTCAGAGATTGAGCTTTGACCCAGGAACCAAGAGACGACTTGTTTGATTCCTGGTCAGGGAACATGCCCGGGTTTTGGGCGCCATTCCCAGTAGGGGTGTGCAGGAGACAGCTGATCGATGAGCTTCTATCTCTCCCTCTTCCTCTCCCTTCTTCTCTCTCTAAAAATCAATTAAAATAACAACCACCAAAAAAAAAACCAAAAGACACAAACAAAAACAAACAAACCCAAAAACAAAATAGGAACTCAGTAAGTATTTGATTTATGAATTGTGATTTAGCTGCTATTCATAAGACCTAGTTAACTTTTTTCCCTTCTAAAAAAAATGGGTTTTGGCAAATGATAGTTGATCCTGCCATGTCTAAATCCCCTGTATTTTACCCAGGTTTTGTTTGTTTTCTTCAAATGAACGATTTTCCCTCTGAGATTTTTAGAGCAAAGTTTTATGAAATATGTACAATAATTAGAGAAGAAAATTTGAAGGCAGCTTTTCAAATAAAAGAAACTTGGCAGAGGGGGCCAACCACATTATATCATAGAGGATTTATGATCTGCAAGTCTGCAATGGACTTTGCTGTAAAAATCTGCCAAGGCTAGAAAATAGTCCTCTGCTTCTCTGGGTTTTCTCTGAACACCTCTTAGTTACTCCTGACAGCAGTGATGAGTTCTCCCCCAGAACAGTCTTGGGGAATATTTCCGTTCCCCCTGCAATTATATATGCTCCTTACCATTTCATTACGGCTTAATTCTGGAGTGAAACACACACATACACACACCCTGCCCCAACCCCGCTCCCCCAAGTAAATAACAACGTAGAATATAAGATGGAGAAAGGATAATTGCAAGAAAAGGACAAGAGTTTGAAGGTTTGTATGGGGTTTTATTGGTCACCTGACCTATTTTTCTCCCATGCACACGAACACTGACACACTGACTTCCCTTCATCAAAAAAAGCTGTGGAAGCATCCCGAACTTTACGCCTGCCTGCTGTGAGGTTAGGTGGTGAGTGTGAGTGTGTGACATAGGTGAGCACTGCATCAGAGTTCCCATTCGCATCTACTTAGACAACGAATTTGAAGTATTGTTCAAGCTTATTAAATTAAAGCTTGTCTAATGCCTTAACGTCAGGAAGGGGAAAGGTATGTAGACTTTTTGAGTATCTCCGAGATGGCTCTTACAGCTCAGATGGTCTCTCTGCTGAGATTGTGAGAAGCTTGAAGGGAGAAACTCTGTTATTTTCACCTGTTTCTTCAGCACCTAGTACGGTGTCTGACACACAGAAGGAACTATTTCAGCAATTTTGTGACCTAATAGTAGTCTTGTGCGTGGCAGAGAAGATTAGTAGTTCTGAAGATTTGAACATTATCACAGGGTGGTTGACACATTTCTAGTCCTTATGTTATACTTCATTTCTGTATCTTAATATTTAGTAGGTTACTTTTAAAGAAAATTTTCATAAAAAAATTTCTGAGCATTAATTATGAAAAAAAAGGTTGGAGGGGAAAATGAGTTTATGTAACTCATGTAAGACAAAGATGAATCTCCTTAACATAGAAAGAGCCTCTTTCAAATAAGTCAATAAGGAAACATTCCTTATTTTGGAGCTTTTTTTGGCCTACTTAATTTTTAAAAAAATGTATTTTATTGATTTTTTTACAGAGATGAAGGGAGAGGGATAGAGAGTTAGAAACATTGATGAGAGAGAAACATCAATCAGCTGTCTCCTACACACCCCTACTGGGGATGTGCCCACAACCAAGGTACATGCCCTTGACCAAAATCGAACCTGGGACCCTTTAGTCCACAGGCCGACACTCTACCAACTGAGCCAAACCGCTTAGGGCTTGGCCTACTTTAATAGATAATTCAGCCCTAGCCGGTTTGGCTCAGTGGATAGAGTATTGGCCTGTGAACTAAAGGATCTCTGGTTCGATTCCGGTCAAGGGCACGTGCCTGAGTTGTGGGTTCGGTGCCCAGTAGGGGGCCTGCAAAAGGCAGCCGATCAATGATTCTCTCTCATTATGATGTTTCTATCTCTCTCTCCCTCTCCCTTCCTCTCTGAAATAAAAATATTTTTTTAAAAAAGGATAATTCACATTTGAAAAATAAGCATCTGAAACATGTTCAACTCATTAATCAAAGAAAGGCAAACTCTAAAAGCATCCCATTTTACCTACCAAATTGACAAGGATTAAAGTCTGATTGCCACTGTTAGGGTTAAGAGAACAGGCATGCATACCTCTCATGTGGGAGTATAAGTAATATGTAATCTTTTGGGAGGATGATTTGGCAACAGATATTTTTATGACACAGCAAATTCTTCCACAAGGGTATTTATTGCCACATTATTTACAAAAGTGAGAAATTGTAAGCAACCTGCATGCCTACCGATAAATGATTGGTTAATTAAATGTTCTAAATACAAATGATGGATTTTGGACGTTAAAAATAAAATTTTGAAGTCTAATGATATTGTGTAACTGAACTGAATCGTACAAGATAATATCTAAAGTTTATGTTGTACTCATTTAAAAATATATACATTTTCTTGATGTCAGTTTTATTCATTGCTGGAACAAACATTTTAGTTTTTTTCTGATACTTTTAAAAATTTCATGAATTTTTGTAATTACTTGCACAATCAGGAAAAATTATATAATGAAGCAAGGCACAGTATATGGGAGTGAGAGCAAGTCTTCACTATGTGTGTTAAGTGCTGTTGAGTTGGCTCTGGTTCCTGGCAGCCCTGTGAATGAGTGATGTCCACAATGTCTTTTCCTTAAGAGCCCTACTCAGCATCTGCAGGCTCATGCTTCTTTTATATAGTCAGTCCGTCTCAAATTATTATCTTTTCCAAAGAACCCTGCCTCTTCATGATGTGCCCAAAGTAAGACAGCTTTTTTAGTCATTTTTGCCTGCAGCAATGCTTCAGGCTTCATTTGCTCTAGGACTCACTGTCTTTCTGGCGGTCCATGGTATCTACAGAGCCCTCCTCCAACACCACATTCCAAACAAATCAATTTCTTTCCTATTAGCCTTTTTCATTGTCCAACTTCCACATCTGTACATAACAATTGGGAATATGGGGGCGTAGATGACTGTGGTCTCCAATGATGCATTGTTGCTCTTTACTTAATGGAATACGCATCACTATAATGCTGTAATGATTACATTTTCCCCCAAGGGTTCTTCCCCAGTGGTTAAACAAGGGAAAGTAGTTTGATAAAATGCTCCAAATGTTAACTATACTGTTCTACGAGTTATTCGAAGAGAGAAACAAGTAGAGGCAGCATGGAATAGCAGGAGTAAGGATTTCTCAATTAGATGATCCTGGGTTGGGACCATGGCTATAGCTGTGAAACCTTGGGCATTGGACCTGTAGCTTTCCCATCTATGAAATGGGTATATTAACCATCTCTATCTTCACAGGACTGTTGTGGGGAATAATGAGGTAGTGTGTATGAAGCACTTTGCACAGAGTGTGACTCACTGAACAGGGGGCACTTATGAGGTGAAACCTCTCAGGAGGGGTATAGCATTTCCTTTAGGAGAACCAAACTTGAAAATCATGAATTAGGAAGTGATTGCTCACTTTACAGAGAATCATTGTTGTAATGGTGTAGTCGTTTTCTATTACTTAAACTTAGCAGTTTAAAACAACACACATTTATCATCTGATGGTTTTGTGGGTCAGCATCCAGCCACAGCCTAATGGGGTCCCCTACTTGGGGTCTCTGGAGGCTGCCCTCAAGATCGTGACTGGGGCTGGGTTCTCACTCAGAGGGTTGACTAGGGAACCACCGACTTCCCTGCTCATGTGGTTGTTGGCATCATTCAGTTTCCTGGGGTTGTAGGACTGGTAGCAGTTTGCTTCTTCAAAGCCAGTAAGTGGGCAGAAAGAGAAAGACAGGTACAAGTGGCTAGCAAGACAGTCTTCTAAAACACAGCACAGTCATGAGGGTGACTGTCACCTTTGCCAACCACAGGTCCTGCTTGCACTCAAGAAGATGATGCAAAGGTGTGAACCCCGTGATGGAGGGTCATGTCAGAGGGCTCTATTTGCTACAAGTGGTATTCACAATCACAGGTTTCAAACGCAGTAGAAGCCAATGCACTATTTTAGGAAATGATTTGGTTGGGGAAAATTTTGGCTTATATCTGAATAACATGGATTGGAAAGCAAGATGAGGCCACACTGTGCTGTAGTACGAACTGTTTAAGGCCAATAATTCTGCCTTCTGCAGTGTGGAGATCTCAAGAGTTACTGTTTTGTAAGTAATGGGTAATTGAAATGTCACTTCAAAGGTGATTTTTTTCATCTCTAAAATGTGGGAGTATTTTCATTATTTGTGAAGTCTTTATAGTAAGTATTGACTTCAATGAAAACAAACATTGCTTGTCTCACCCAGATCCATTACATTTGAAACTTCCATTTGTTCTCTAGATTTTTTTAAAAAGCCATTTGCTTTGTTTGTTTTTAACTTGGCATTTCTCAAGCAAGAAGTGTGGCACTTGGTGTTCTCTGCTGGCTCTCTCTCCTCACACCAGTGGTATTGCCACTCTCCTCTGGATAGGAAAATGATGACTCATGCTAAGAATTTTATGGGTATTATAAAAGTCCAATGAGATTGCTGTTTGAGACAAGTACACTGAAATGCAAAACAATAATGTTTTAGAGGTACATTTGTAATCCAGAAGACGAGGCAGGATGACTGATCACACCCTTAAACCAAAGGTTAAGAGGCCCTGATGAATATCGGAACTTTTTTCCTGTTGGGAACAGATGTGTTAGCTACCACATTATGGTGCTTCCATGGCTGTAGGTTGGGGGTGCTGGTGGTTCAGCTCTAGGATATTTTATAATTTCACTCTATCATCATCTCCTGAGTTTGGGCTGATAGACCAACCTCAACAAGGCAGTGTTAAGTCATCTTACACAGTGAAACTCCTGTATGTGGGAAAACCAAACCTCCCAGCTCTCTGAGCAAAGAGCCTCTGACTGTGCATGGTGTGCCTATTAGATTTCAGAACGGAGAGATGCTTCAGCTTTCTCTTGGGCCAATTGTTTGCCAGAACATGAGGTTGGATAAACAAATATCTACACATTTCCATTTTTCTTAATGCCACATGTTTGGATAATGCTTAACTTATGGGAGCATTTTATGTCTCCTTTTTTAAACTTGATTTTGAGAGAGAGAGGACAGAAGAGAGGGGAAGAGAGAAACATTGATGTGAGAAGGAAATATCTATCGGCTACCTCCTGCAGGCCCCCTACTGGGAATTGAACCCTCAACCTTTTGGTGCCTGAAACAAAGCCCAATCAACTGAGCAGCACTGGCCAGGGCAATGCCTCTTCTCAATAGGATGAGTTCATCCAAAGTTTGGAGAAGATGAGGAAACTAAGGCTCAACCACTTGATTTGGTGAGGACCATGTCATACTTTTTCAGCAGAGACTGAAATAAAGCCATAGACTCCTCCTCTTTCCAAACCTCAGGCACCTTATTAATAAATTCTGCTGGATCTCCATTTCTTTTCCTCATTCAAAAATGAAGCATCTCTGAGAGGAGAGACCCGTCCGCATTCCTATGTGTAGTTTTTCCAAGCATGTAGTCATCACACACACACATACATGCCTACCAGCATTTGATGAAAGGCTACATTTTCAAGGTAAGATAGTATCAAGGTATCCAAACAAGGTAGTCTGCTTTCTAACCCAGCTTAACTCTTGGGTAAGTTGCTTAAACTTTCTAAGGTACCAGTGAAAGGGGAGTAAGA